CCCGTGGCGCGCGCTCCGGGGCTGCCTTCGGAAAATGCCTCTTTGAAATTCACCCACACACACACCGCGGCCGCCAGGGACGGAAGCGCGACGCGAAGCCCCCGCCTCTCCCCGAAATCCTCCCCCTCCTGATTTTCTACGCTTCTCCACAGCCTTCCCCTCGGCGTTCGGCTTTGCTTTTGTTGTGTGTGTTGTGTTGTTTTGTTTGTGCCACGCCAGGCTTCTCCCTGGCCACCTCTCTCTGGGCATCCTGGACTCCGCGGGCCGCGCGGGAAGCGTTTCTCACGGGGTCCTCAGCCTGGTAGTCAAGGTGACCCGGGGGCGGCTGGGCTCGGTCAGGTCTCCGCCGGGGAGGGTGCTGGGGCGGGGGCCGGGGCATGGTCACGCCCGTGACAGTTGTGGGGAGACTGAGCAGGATTCACCCAAAACGACACTGGCAGCGTCGCAGCTTGGGAGGTGGAGGTTTGCATTCTGCCCAAGCGCTAAAAAAATAAACGGCGGGGCTCGAGGGCTATGCAGCCCGCCGCAGTTGTGTTAATGAGAGCAGAATGCTCTCAGTCCCGCCACAACAGCGCCATGGGTCGGCCTGGATTTTTTTTCCCCCTAAATATGTGGTACTCCCTCCTCGGGGATGCTGCACACATCAGAAGCGATCCTGCGGCCCCGCTGCATCATAAATATAAGCGCGAGCTTCCGCTGTCAGCACGCGTCACCACTCAGTGGGTTCCGTTGTCACCAGCCAGCTGGCTGCGTCCCGGCCAACCCCGAAGCTCCCGGATCCCTCAGCATCTGACGGCGGAGGGAGGCGCCCTCTAGTGAGGGCGCTCACAGCCGCCGCCGCTTTTGTGTTAGCCTAGGAGTTAAGTGGGGACCCTTCACCCCGGTAAAGCAGGAAGTGCTGCAGCCCCAGAGAGCGAAGATCTGAGAAGACAGTCCCCAGGAACTCTTCTAGTGACCTAGACGGCAGGCTCTCAGCCACTTCTTTCTTCCTGTTGTTCAGCCTAAAAGGCCAGAGAAGACCTCTCAAGGGGAGACTTTTATTGGACTTATCCCAGCTGACCCATCAAGTGAGTCAAACATTCTGCTTAGCAAAGGACGTTTGCACCAACCACAGCAAACTCATGCAGATGAAGGCTTGGGTTTGCACCCTCACAATATTGTCCCTTTAGCACCAGTCATCACACACACACATCCTCCGCTCCAGGACTATGGGCGGGAGGGGCATGAGACGAGGACACAGAGACTGAATGTCATCTAGAGTCCATCAAGGCTTGTGATAGCAAAAAATCCCGTAACCAACTGTTTCAAACCGTCCTGGCTGAGGCCACACCTTCAGGAGCTGGAGCGATTAGCTGTCACCATTGTGTGGTTTTCTTAAAGTGTTCAAAATGGCCTGTGTTGGCCAAAGGATGGTCTGGCTGGCTGTTTGATGACGTCCTGTTTAAGGCAGCCAAGGCAGGAAGGAATTGTTCAAGGGCTATCAGAGAATCAAATCGCCCCACCTCCTGGTGTCTGCTTATTTACAGGAAAGTGGGCATCAGAGGAGCACTTACAATGAAAACTTAAAGAACTCATTAACAGTCATAGTGATTTTTAACAATGCTTAAAACCTGGGCCACTGGCCCAGAGCAAGGAGAGTCCCCTGGTCTGTCCTTCCTTTCTGTTAGTGAGTTTGAGTCTACTGTACAGCCTAGACTAACCTCCAACTCTCAGTTCTCCGACCTCAGCCTTCAAGTGCTGGGATTAAAGGCGGTAGGCACCATGCCCTGCTCCTCTAAACATATGCAAATAGAGAAATAAAGCAAGATGCCCAAAGCAGTACAGCCAACAGGACGACACCAAGATGTAAGCATTCCTATTTCCCATCAAGTCTGCCTCCCTGCCTCAAAATCTGGTTGATGTTGCATGGCTGTTTCTTCGGGATTGAAACATTCCCTCCTCACGAGATTAGAGAAGGTTCATAAAATTCAGAAAGAAGTTGCAAGACACAGAACCCTTCACCCAGTTTATGTCACCAATAAAGACTCCTGGTGACAGGAATCTCTGGTGGATCTGTGAACAAGTTATGTAGAGAACTCTGGTGATGGAGGCGATGCCTTTTTGATGAGAAGCTGGTCCAGTCTCCCTTGCTCCTGTAAGTGACCTACCACCCCATGCTACTGCCAGTGAGCCCCTTGGTCTGCCAGTCTGGACTTGGGTGGAGAAGCTTCTTAGGTCGTTCATTAGGGCCTTTCTTTATGTCTGCCTACAGAAAAGTCATACAAGAAAAGACTAGGTTATCTCATTGATTCAAGTCCTAGGTGAAACAAGCTTGCTTTCACAGTGAAGAGAATGGTTTCAAGACTACTAGTCACAGGGGAGCAGTTTCCCACCCCGTGAGCATCATTTTATTCTACAGTATTCGCCAGCTGCCAGTCATGTGCCAAGTGCTATCCCAGGCTCTGGGGACACAAGGGCCTATCCTCAGATACTTTACATAATGAGGGCCAATACCGAAGCATAACGACAGCCAGGTGTGGAGCACAAGGGCCCAGGAGGCAGAGACAGGTGGATCTCTGTGAGTTCAAGGCCAGCCTGGTCTACATAGCAAATTCTAGGGCAGCCAGGGATACATAGTAAGATACATAAGGAGTCTCTCTCTCTCTCTCTCTCCCTCTCTCCCTCTCTCTCTCCCCTCCCCTCCCCTCCCCTCCTCTCTCTTCTCCATACACACAC